TTAAAACAGGATTATTAAAACAGCAAATTATAATATAAACATAAAACATGCATATATGTTACCTTTTGAGGTGCTGGTGGGCCAATATCAATATGTTCAACTGCTGGAGGGCTTACAACCCTGGCTGCCTGAAATAAAATTATACAATCATACACTGATAACAAGCCATGCATGGCACAGTCCTCATGGTTACCATTTAAGTCCTTCAGTCGGTTTGAAAATGAGATTACATACATGTGTGAGATCTGGTTCCAGACATTTAAAAATTCTCATTTAAAAATTTTAAAAACCATATTGGGGAAGCAGGGATCTGTTATTAGATGACAAACTTACAGCATGTGCATTTGTACATGTATGCTATAATACACAAGTTGAAGGAGTCCTCTAGACATGTCTAAAATATTATGTACAAAAGTGCCTTCTTGAAAAACACAAGAAAGAAAATGCCACCTTGAAAATGACATTTTTGAATCAAAACATAAAAACATTGTGATGTACATCAATGACCATACATGTTCAACCATTGTATCAAATCCGAAAACATTAAATGTATGTCTCAAAGAACGGAAATTAAGATTATTCATAATTTTAAATTAAGTAATTTTATCACCCCCACCCACCCCCTCAAAAAAAACTTGCCAAGCACGTGTTAACTATTATGTTCTGTCACTGTACCGAGTTGGAAGCAAATCAGTCAAAGCATGTCTGAAAAATGGCACCCAGTCAAAATGCATTAGGATTGAGATTGCACCACCAAAAGAGATACCTTAAAAATAAACAGAAATATTATACATCACAGAGTGTCATAATATTAGGAAATGCAAATTCCAAATATGGTGACCTTGCCCTTTGTTATATAATATTATTCCCTTTATTATAGTTTGTTTCAATATGAATATGCATTGTCATATTTAATTTTGAAAACAAACAAATTTTGGGGTTGAAAAAACAGTGGGAAAGCAGTTTACCCAATGTCCGTGATAGATGTAAATATCTTACAAAAACATTGGTACCTAATTTGTTTAATTATTTTAAGGGACATAATTTCCAGCTTTATTCAAAGTAATTCAGATTTGTTATTATAAAAACAAATTCCTCATCTCAGAAAAAAAGTGCTGCATTTAGACATGAATAGATTCATAAACCATGCAAGATACCAGAAAATCTTAGCTGGCTTTTGCCCAGGTATTTTGTACATGTGTCTGTCAAAAATTAATGATTCACTGAGACAAATATGAACTGCTTTATTATATTCATTGTGTGACTACTGTATTATTTGAAAAGTAAAAAAAAATGCCCTCTATCATGTTGCAAGCTCTGCTCTTTAATGCAAATCAACTTGAATAGTTAGTTGGTGTCCAGTGGAGAAAGAAGTCAACAGTACTTTTGCCTACTGAGAATCTACATCTTCAAACACTGCAATCTTTGTTTTAAAAGTGTGTTTTTAAATTATTATTATAAAAGCTCTATCATTCTGTTCTAATAGCTGAAACAAATTCCTGTGAATTTTCATTTGTCGAATGGACTGTTTGTCAAATACAGAATACCTATTTTTGAGTACAATTTTATTTTCAAAATGTGGATGCAACGTTTTGCTTTTTATGTATTTTTTATGTACTGTTTTTGATTTGATAACTTTGGACTAAACAGATTTTCTATTAGCTTCAGATCTTGATCAAAGTTTGGCAGCCCAATTCATAGGAGGGCTTTTCTTGTTTTCTGTAAAGATTTTAGGTTTGCAAATGTGTATCAGACTG